GGGGCTTTGGGGCGGAGTCAATGGAAGGGGCGGGGCTTGGGGCGGAGTCAATAGGAGGGGTTGGGACTTTGGGGCGGAGTCAAGGGAAGGGGCGGGGCTTGGGCAGGGGTGTGGCCTAGCCCTCTGTGGGCGGGGCCAGGCTGCCAGTGGGCGGAGCCTGATGGTTCCCAATTTCTTTCCCCTTCTTTTTTTCCATCTTCTTTTCTTTCCTTATTTTCTTCTTTTTTTCTTCTTTTCTCCTTTCCCTCTTCCTTTTATTTTTTCTCCTTTCCCTCTTCCTTTTATTTTTTCTCCTTTTCTTCCTCATTCGCTTCTTCCTTGTTTATATCTTTTTTATTTGTTTTTTATTTTCTTCCCGTTTTCCATTTTTCCTTTTATTTGTTTCTTCTCTTGCTTTTGTGTTCCTTTTCTGTCCGTCTTTCTTTTCTATTTTCATTTCTCCTTTTCTGTTTGTCTTTTTCCTTTCCTCTTTCCTTTTCCTTTCCTCTTTCCTTTTCCTTTCCTCTTTCCTTTTCCTTTCCTCTTTCCTTTTCCTTTCCTCTTTCCTTTTCCTTTCCTCTTTCCTTTTCCTTTCCTCTTTCCTTTTCCTTTCCTCTTTCCTTTTCCTTTCCTCTTTCCTTTTCCTTTCCTCTTTCCTTTTCCTTTCCTCTTTCCTTTTCCTTTCCTCTTTCCTTTTCCTTTCCTCTTTCCTTTTCCTTTCCTCTTTCCTTTTCCTTTCCTCTTTCCTTTTCCTTTCCTCTTTCCTTTTCCTTTCCTCTTTCCTTTTCCTTTCCTCTTTCCTTTTCCTTTCCTCTTTCCTTTTCCTTTCCTCTTTCCTTTTCCTTTATTCATTTTCCTATTCTTTTTCTTTTCTTCTTTTTTCATTCTCTCCTTTTTGGTTCTCTTTTTGTGTTTCTTGCTGTCTTTTTTTATTCTTCTTCTTGTTGCTCTTTCTCCGTGTGTGCTTTTCTCCTTTTTTTCCTTTCTCTTTTTCTTTCCCTTTTCTTTCTTTTCCCCCCCGCCCCCCCAGCCTGACCTTCTTCATCTGCTCGGTGGGCTTCACCTCCCCGATGCTGTTTGACGAGCGCAAGTTCCCCTATCACCTCATGCTGCAGAAATTCCTCTGCTCGGGTGGCCACAACGCCCTCTTCGAGTAAGCCTGACCCCCCCAACTCCCTCTGGGGGACACAAGGAGGGGACTTTGAGGGGGGGACTTGGGGGACACAAGGAGGGGTCTTTGAGGGGGGGACTTGGGGAACACATGGAGGGGACTCTGAGGGGGGGAAATTGGGGACACACTTAGGGGGACCTTGGGGGACACAAGGAGGGGACTTTGAGGGGGGGACTTGGGGGACACAAGGAGGGGTCTTTGAGGGGGGGACTTGGGGAACACATGGAGGGGACTCTGAGGGGGGGAAATTGGGGACACACTTAGGGGGACCTTGGGGGACACAAGGAGGGGACTTTGAGGGGGGGACTTGGGGGACACAAGGAGGGGTCTTTGAGGGGGGGACTTGGGGAACACATGGAGGGGACTCTGAGGGGGGGAAATTGGGGACACACTTAGGGGGACCTTGGGGGACACAAGGAGGGGACTTTGAGGGGGGGACTTGGGGGACACAAGGAGGGGTCTTTGAGGGGGGGACTTGGGGAACACATGGAGGGGACTCTGAGGGGGGGAAATTGGGGACACACTTAGGGGGACCTTGGGGGACACAAGGAGGGGACTTTGAGGGGGGGACTTGGGGGACACAAGGAGGGGTCTTTGAGGGGGGGACTTGGGGAACACATGGAGGGGACTCTGAGGGGGGGAAATTGGGGACACACTTAGGGGGACCTTGGGGGACACAAGGAGGGGACTTTGAGGGGGGGACTTGGGGGACACAAGGAGGGGTCTTTGAGGGGGGGACTTGGGGAACACATGGAGGGGACTCTGAGGGGGGGAAATTGGGGACACACTTAGGGGGACCTTGGGGGACACAAGGAGGGGACTTTGAGGGGGGATTTGGGGACACATTCAGGAGGACCTTGGGGGACCCCACATGTAGCAGTGGGGGGGGAAGGGAGAGGGAGGTTTAGGGACTTCCTCCTCTCCCCTAAACATCCCCAAACATCCCGAAACGTCCCCAAACATCCCCAAATGTCCCGCAATGTCCTGAAACATCTCGAAATGTCCCCAAACATCCCCAAACGTCCCGAAATGTCCTGAAACATCTCGAAATGTCCTGAAATGTCCCCAAACGTCCCGAAATGTCCTGAAACATCTCGAAATGTCCTGAAATGTCCCCAAACATCCCGAAATGTCCCGAAACATCTCGAAATGTCCTGAAATGTCCCCAAACGTCCCGAAATGTCCTGAAACATCTCGAAATGTCCTGAAATGTCCCCAAACGTCCCGAAATGTCCTGAAACATCTCGAAATGTCCCGAAATGTCCCCAAACGTCCCGAAATGTCCTGAAACATCCCCAAACGTCCCGAAATGTCCCCAAACGTCCTGAAATGTCCCGAAATGTCCCCAAACGTCCTGAAATGTCCCGAAATGTCCCCAAACGTCCCGAAATGTCCCGAAA